TTAAAATGCCTCTCCACACATGAGAAGCAGGCCTGCCTTTAGGCCATTCATGTAAGGAGGTTGTCTTAAGGTATTTACACTTAAGAACATCCTTCCGCAAACCTTCCTTATCACAAATCAGATTCCAACCCAACTTGGATAGAAGGGCTAGATTCTGATTCCTAGCCTTTTTAATGCCAAGGCCACCAAGTTTCTTTGACTTGCAAACCTCATCCCACTTAACCAAATGCATTCTTTTCTTATCTTGGGTATCACCCCAAAGGAAATTCCTGTTAAGTCTATCAATCTCATTACAGACATTAACAGGTAATTCCAAAGTTTGCATAGTGTAGGTGGGTAGAGCAGAACTCACAGACTGGATGAGGGTAGTTCTCCCTGCCATGGACAGCACACTGGTTTTCCAACCAGCAAGCTGTTTTTGCATCCTCTCAAGGATTGTTCTGAAGTGTCCTCTATTCACTCTCCCATGAATGAGAGTCACTCCTAGGTATTTCCCTAACTCTGCAGTCAGGGGCATACCACACTTGGAGCTTAAATCTCTGGCCTTTCTCTTATCATAATTAGGAGAGACATTCATGATTGTGTTACAATTTCTCATGTCAGCCTTAGCAAAAAGGAGTAGATCATCAGCAAAAAAAAGGTGGGTCAGGCAGGGTCCTCCTCTAGCAACCTGTATGCCTTTCCACTCTATTTTCAGCCTTGGATCTAATCATGTTGGAGAGCCTTTCTAAGCACAGAACAAACAGATAGGGAGAGAGGGGGTCTCCCCGTCTCAATCCCTTTTGAGGCTTGAATTCCTGGAGAGGCTCTCCATTCCACAAGATAGCAGTACTCACTGAAGTGACACAACACATCACCAGCTCAATAATGTTAGCATCAAGATTAAATTCTTTCAAAGTTTGTTCCAAAAAATCCCAAGATATGTTATCATAAGCTTTTTTCAAATCAATTTTCAAAATCATTCACCCAATTTTACCTTTCTTGTGGGTCAAAGTATGAATGGTTTCTTGGGTGATGATGATGTTGTGACTAGTGGATCTACCAGGAACAAAGCTACATTGGTTAGGACTGACAATTTTAGTCAAAAGGGGTCTGATTCTACCAACGATGATTTTGGCTATAATTTTATAAGACACATTGCAAAGGCTAATGGGTCTGAATTGTTTGATGTTCACAGGGTTCTCAATTTTGGGAATAAGGGCAATTAAAGTTCTATTGATGATAGGGGGAATGTTATTACTTTTAAAACAGTTTTGAACAAACTCACAAACAGTAGTGCTGATAGTATTCCAGTAGGTGTGGTAAAACACAGCTTGGAAACCATCTCTACCAGGGGCTTTAAAGGCCTTAATATTCTTCACGGCCCTCCATATTTCATCCCTAGACACCTACTTAGTCAACTCAGCATTGTCCTCCTGACTAATCAAGTTAGGAGTTAAATTGTTCCAGTGGTCAGGTGAAGTAGGAGTGAAATTAAGAAGATTCACAAAATACTCAAGGATAAGAGATTTCAACTCAGCAACATTTTCTATCCACATACCTCTCTCATTCTTGAGGGTTTCAATTTTGCACTTCCTTCTTTTAGTCAGGGTAGCTAAATTGAAAATTTTAGTATATCTATCTCCCTGGGTAATCCAGTTGGATCTGGATTTCTGGAACCATAGAATTTCCTCTTGAAAGAGAATTTTATTGTATTGCTCAATAAGATTCATTTCAAGCAAGTGTAGGTTGTGGGAATAATTGAAAAACTGGGATTTCTGGATTCCTTCAATCCTCCCAAGAAGCCACCTCTTATTCCGGAAAATGTTCCCAAAAGTCTTTCTATTCCACATACTAGCTTTAAGGGCTAGAGTATCGAGTTTATCAGTAAGAGAGGGGGGGAGTCCCTCCAATTCTTATCCACAACAGATTGGAACCCCTCATGAGATATCCAAGCAGCCACAAACTTAAAAGATTTGGTACTAGGGTTAGAATGAGACTTACTTTGAGTGAAAATCATCATTGGTGAGTGGTCTGAGTAGGTCTGAGGGAGATTCTGAACTAGACGTTCAGGGAAGCTGGTTCTCCATTCTGTGTTGTACATCGCTCTATCCAATCTTACCATAGTATTGGCCCAGCCTTGTCTGTTATTAGTCCAAGTCAGTCTGGGCCCTATGCACCCCAGATCCATTAAATTACAGTTGTTCATTCTATCTAAGAACTTCTTGCTTCTCCTCTGATCTTGGCTTTGGGTCTGGCTCAGGTTTCCCGACAAGCTTCTCTTCTCTGTTTGAGTGGCAAAATCATTAAAGTCACCAGCTATAAGCCAAGGATCAGCCATGGTTTGGGACGTATCTTCCACGTGTTGCCAAAGTTCATCCCGTTTGTTACTATGAGGACTAGCACACACTACTGACAGGACCCAATCTCTGTAGTTTTGCCTTGAAATCTTTGCTGTTATCAGTTGTGAGCTTGCCTCAATAACTCTCACATTCACTACACTAGGATTCCAGATCATCCAAATGCCCCCACTACGACCTATAGGATCCACATGAGCTGAAGTGGTAAACCCCATTCTGTTGAAAAACATTCCCATGGAACTAAACTCCACTTTTGTTTCCATAAGAACTATTAAATCAGGTTTATGGAGCTGGACTAGCTCTTTCATATTTCTCTTAAATCTGGTATTGCCTGCTCCTCTACAGTTCCAAATCAATAAATCTATAGATGATTGATCTTGTTTTGGTAGGGGTCTGGTCCAGCAAGTCCAGGAAACCCCTTACTTTGTTTTGGTTATCTACCATTGGCATTGGAGATGTTATGGAAACAAAGTGCCTCTCCTGGCTTGCCTCTATTTGTCTCCGTGGTTGGATCTTCATGTTTACTTCCTCTATCCACCATTCTGAGCTGATGAGGTGAAACACTTTTTTCTCTGGTGTGAGAAACAGCAGCACTCTGTGTTGATTCAATCTGTGGGACTCCACTGGGTAGTTCTCGCCCTCCTCTTCCTCCATGTTTATCTGGTGGATCTCTAACTTTGGATCTGGTAGTATCTTTCCTTGGCTGAGAGCTTATGGGGGGGTGGGAAGGGGTGATAACTAGAGAGTTGGTGGGGGTCTTAACTGGTGATTGATGTTGTGGGCTGTGTGTAGTGGTATCATCCTCAGGTAGGTACTCTGATTGATGTTCCCGTGTGCCTCCCTCATTAATCTCTTCCTTACCCTTGATTAAATCTTCTCTTTTCTTCTCTATAGCTGTGTCGAGCTGAGTGGCCCCCATATCCTTTTTGTCCGTGTGGCCTGGTGACTTTTCCTTATACTTAAAACCTAAAGTCTGGTGGCCTAGGCTCGTGGGTTCTTGTTCTTTTTCTTTTGCAAATTGGGCCTTCTGGTGATCCAGCGGCTCCTCGTCATCTTGCAGGCTTTGAAATCTATTTCCTTGTTGCTGCTTGCCTCCTCTTGGGTTCCTTAAGCTCTTAGCATTTCTCTTTTGGTTTGTGACCTTCATCCATGGCCCAAATTTGGTGCGGCTCATCTCCCCCAAATCTTGCTTCTTGTTAGTAGTCAGCCCAGTGTCCAGCTCAGCTTCTTCCCTCAGCCTTTCTCCTCCGGCAGTAGAGTTCCATTGCTTGTTCACCTCCGGCGGTGTGCTTTCATTACAGGAATCGCTTCTGTGTCCTACCCTGCCACAAGAGAAACAAAATAGGTGTAAATGTTCATATTCCACCATATAAATGTACTTACCTATGGAGAGTTGGGAAATTAGAGGCTTTCGCAGATCCATCTCGACACACACTCTTGCATATTTTCCTCTTGATGCCATAGCTGTGTTAATATCGATCTTTAAAGGGGTTCCTAGAACCTTCGCGATGTGATACAGAGCTTTTTCATTGTAATATTCTATGGGTAGATTTGGGAATCGCACCCATAGAGCTGTAGTGTCTTCTTCAGCATCATCCGATTTGAAGTCTTGCTGCCATTTTCTCACTGTCACATAGTGATCCATGGCTATCCATGGTCCTCCAGTGAATACTTTAGTATAATCATCTAACATATCAAACTTCACAACAAAGAATCCATTACCGATATCTAGGGCTTCAAAATCGGCTTGGAGGCCCCAAATTCGAGTCATCTTCGTCATGAAAAGTTTATACCCTATATTTTTCCCCAATAGTCTTAACTATCAAACACTTTTTCCATGGTTCTCTGATTTTTTTCAGTAGGGCCTGTGGAATTTTGACTCTAGGGATACCCCCAAAGTTTTCTTCTGGAGCATCATCATTGTCCTCGTGGGCTTCATTAGTTGCCAAATCTTCCTCGTCAGATGAGATTTCCTCTACATCACAGTCAAAGCTTTTCTCATTACCACTTTCATTAAACCGTGATTTGAGGAGGGCCTGTTTGAATGATTTCGCTTGATCTATTTTCATATCATGGTTATCATTTTGAGTCCTTCTTCTTGGTTCTGTCTCCCGTATTTCAGTCATTTGCTCATCAGTGGGGAGTGGATTGGCTGCATCTGAATGATCCTCCAGCTGGTTTTCAGCCATATTTTCATCTTCTTTCCCCGATGTGCTTTTAATTTTCTTTGTGCTTCGGATCAGATGATCCTCTTCCTCAGTTGAACAGCCATGGTCGAATCGTGCCTCTCCAACACTCAGAGCTTCGGTAACGGTCATATTTGCGATCATGTGTACTTGGTCTTTGAACTATCTATTGAGTCTATTAAGTCCTTAAAATATAGGCTGTTGATCAAATCTATTAAACCCCTAAAAGGATTACAAAAATAAAATATAAGCTTGAAAGTGTTATAAATTAGTAAAAAAAAGCTACCTAGTTAATATTTTATTACAAAAAAACTTTAAATTTCTATTAGGTCTTCGATTATGATAATTATCTATAAATTGGCAGATAATTCGCTGTATAACTGAGCTATATGTAAATGTTTTGTTCCAGTTAATAGTATCTTGTATATTATTGCATTTATATGTTTTAAGAGCCCAATATGTTTTTGTGTTTTAGGATGATGCAGCGGACGAGCTAGCTGAAAGCATTTCTCAGTTTCTGTCCACGTTGCCAAAATCCGTTAGACAAAGTGAGGAAGAGCCAATACCGGAGCATATTCAGAAGATGCTCGACAAAGCAAAAGACAGTGATCATCACCATCACGACGACCACCACGATCATCATGGTCATGAACATGATCGTGGTCATGCTCACACTGCAGGTTATATGGATGCGTATGGGCTTGGTCATGGATGGGCAAGTTGAGTTCTTTTCATTTATATGGCCAACGATGCTTCGTGCGTGCTTTTGTGTTCGTAACATTCTTCAATCTTGGAAGTTTGGTAATTCAAACAAAGCAGAGTGAGTTAGTTCTCTTGGAAGTATGAAGTTGTGTAATACCATAATTTTTTAGTTTATTAAGGTTAATTTTAATCATCTTGTATGATCTTCTCAATCTCTTTAGTTGTGTTTTTATCTCTGTACTCTCTCTCTCTCTCTCTCTTTCTCTCTCTCTCTCTATATATATATACATATACACACACTAGTATTTCAGGCCTCGAGAGCTTCAAACACAAATGGCGCGAATTTGTGGTCACTGGTTGACTGGCTGGACGACCACCCGGACGACCGGGTGAAGCATTTGTCTACCGCAGTTGTCATCTTGTCAACCATGGCTATCAGTTTTTTTGTCGGATGACCGGTTAAACAAATTCGAGACAAATTCGCGCCTCAATATTTGAGGCCTGCAGCCCGACTCATATATATATATATATATATATATATGTAATTGGACATAATTTAACCTCCCTCGTGGAATTGATTAGTTTTCAAATATTGGGTTTCTTGGACTTGTCCAGCTTTTGAAATGTTTAAAAGGATTTGCTGCTCTGCCGTATTTGTTGATTTTGTGATGGAGAAAATTTCATTTTTATTTCTATATTTTACCTTGATTTTCAATTATACTCTTAGACTTTGAATAATTTTAATTTTACTTTCAAATTTTTTAAAATAGTATTTAGTGTGTTTAGTTTTAGTTTTTTGAAAACCGAATTTTTTATTTTTCGTATTTTTTTGTTTTTGGTGAATATTTTTAAAATTTTAAATAATTTTTTATTTTTTTAGATGTACCTTACTTAGATATATCTAAAATAATAAAATATTTACGAAAAAATATTTTAAAAAATTAATAAATACACAAAAATACGGAAATGTATTGAATTTTTTTATTTTTTTTTTGGTATTTTTTGGTATTTAGTATATTTTTTGAAAAAAATTTCACAAACATTATACTTTTTAAGTATAGTTATGTTAGGTGTCTTAAATTTAAAAAAAAAAACTTAAAATATTAAAAAAAATTCATTGAAAACATTAAAATACGAAAATAAAAAAAGTAGAATTTTCTAAAAACTGGAACCAAACAAACTGATTAATTTTGCCCCAGCCATCAAATCTGAAATGGAAAAAATTAAAAAAATTATATTTGGTCTCAAATTTAAGCTCATCCCATCTTACCCAAATTCTCACTTCTGTATCGACAGAGGAGCTTGAAAGAGATGGGGCAACAATGTTGTATGTGGCTTTTGCTGAAACACAAAAATGAAAGCTCTCTCATTCTCCTCCTCCGTCGCAGAACCCATCGTCTTAATCTTCCTAAACCTATGTTTTCCGATCAAAGTTTCCTAACATACCCATCTCCATCCACCTACCTCTCCGCATTTACTACTTCCAAAACCTCTCTCAATTCCCAGACAAACCCTGTCTCATCATTGATCCATCGGTAAATCCTACTCTTTCTCCGAAACCCACATCGTTTCCTAGAAAGTCATTGCCAAATTATCACTCCTCTGTTGGGTATACCTCTTTATTGGAATGTGAGACCCAATTGATTTATTAAAAGAGTTTAATTTGATTTGGTATTAGTTATAATATATTTTTATATATTATATCTACTTTGTGGAAACCTAATTCAATTTGAATACAATTAGGGTTTGATTACAAAACCCAAGATTCAAGAATATATATATATATATATATATATATATTGTTTTAGTCCTTGAAATCAGAGGGTGTAGCGGCAGCAAATTGGTTTTGTGGAAGACAGTGCTTCGGGTGTAACTTTTTGTCCAGTAAGAGAATGGTTGCTGTGTGGATTCGATTTCCAAGGATTTGTTTTTGAACCATAGCATCTTTGATTTGATGCTAGTTTGATTCAGATTTTGGGTCTTTTACAATTCTGGTTCTGAAGATTTTGGTTCATCTATTTGGTGAGATCTTTTCCTTTTGTTTATTTGTGATTATTTGGAATTCACCTAATGGTGGTTTTGTGAGACTATTCGTGTCTCGTTTGTAATCGTTTAGAAACTATTTGGTTGATAGTGGAATCGGATTTCGATCCCGTGGACGTACCTCACATTGAGGGAACCATGTAAAAATTCTTGTATTGCTTTTGATTTAATTTTTTCGCATTAGTTTTTATTCTCATTGATTGATTTACTTGTGGAGAATCACATATTTTCTCTAACAACTGGTATCAGAACTTATGGTTTATTTGGGTTTATTTACTTGTGTAAATCAATGGAGGGGAATGTGGGTCGTATGTCTAGCTTCAATGAAAGCAATTGGGTAACTTGGAAAACTAAAATGGAGGACCTATTATTTTGTAAAGATTTGTATGGACCCATTGAGGGTGATAGTGGCAAACCTGATGATATGAAAGATGATGAATGGAAGAGGCTTAATCGAAAAGTCGTTGGTGTTATCCGTCAATGGATTGATGACAGTATGTTTCATCATGTTGCTACTGAAACTTCAGCACATGATTTATGGAAAAAAATTAGAAGGTCTTTATGATAGGCAATCAGCCACAAATAAAGCTTTTCTGTTTCGTAAGTTAGTTAATTTAAAATATAAAGAGGACAGTCCTATACCGGAACATCTGAATGAAATAAAGAGTATTGTTAACCAACTTGCTTCTATGAAAATTGTTTTTGATGATGAGTTGTAGACTTTGATGCTACTTAGTTCCTTACCCGGAAGTTGGGAGACTTTGGTTGTGACAGTTAGTAATTCGGCGCCCGATGGAGTTGTGACAATGGGCCAAGTCACTACTAGTAGCTTGTTGAATGAAGAAACTAGAAGAAAATCAGCGGGTTCCTCTCATTCGGAAGCATTTGTTGTGAGAGGCCGAAGTAAAACAAGGGGGAGAAGTAAGACTCCTCATGGCCGTGATCAAAGCCGTGACAAATCAAAAAGATGGTTCTTTTTCAAAGAAAGACATTCAGTGCTATTATTACCATGAGAAAGGGCACATGAAGCGAGAATGATGAAAGCTCAAGAACAAGGAGAAAATGCGTGACAAAAGTGTGGATAAGAAGTAAGAAGACATAACGGCAATTACTACTGATGATCTCATGGTCGTTTGTGAAGATGATTGCATCAATTTTGTGGGCCAAGAGAGCAATTGGGTGATTGATTCCGGTGCTTCTTTTCATGTGACTTCTCGAGTTGATTTCTTCACTACCTATACCGAAGGAGATTATGGTTCTGTTCGAATGGGTAATGAAGGTTTGTCTAAGATTCTTGGCATGGGTGATGTTTGCTTGGAAACAAATTTGGCCTGCAAGTTGTTACTTAAAGATGTGAGGCATGTTCCTGACATTCACCTCAATTTGATCTCTACTAGGAAGTTAGATGATGAAGGTTTCAACAACAAATTTGGTGATGGAATATGGAAGCTCACAAAGGGTTCTTTGGTGGTGGCTAAGTGCAAGAAGACTCATACACTTTATTCGATGCAAGGAAAAATTTGTAAAGGTGTTGTTAATGCACTTGAAGATGATACTTCTACCGAATTGTGGCACAAGCGGCTTAGCCATATGAGTGAAAAGGGGCTACAAGTTTTGTTCGAGAAAGAGCTTCTACCCGGTTTAAAAGGTACACATCTCAAAACTTGTGTTCATTGTTTGGCGGGTAAACAACATAGAGTTTTTTTTCATAAAAATGTCGCTTCTAGAAAAGAAAATGTTTTGGAGTTGATTCATTATGATGTTTGTGATCCTTTAAAAGTTAGAACACATAGTGGTGCACTTTATTTTGTTACTTTCATTGATGATTATTCAAGGAAAGTTTGGGCTTTTCTACTAAAAACTAAAGATCAAGTTCTAGAAGTATTTAAGCATTTTCAAGCCATGGTTGAAAGAGAAACAGGGCAGAAATTGAAGTGCATCCGATTATATAATGGTGGTGAATACATTGGGCCATTTGATGAGTATTGTCGCAGCCAAGGTATTTGGCACTAAAAGACAGCTAAGAAGACTCTCAACAAATGGCGTTGCCGAGAGATGAATCGCACCATTGTAGAAAGAACAAGGTGTTTGCTTTCACAAGCTAAATTGCCAAGATCCTTTTGGGGTGAGGCATTGAGGACAGCGATTGACGTGATTAATTTATCTCCTTCCTATCCTTTGAATGGTGATGTTCCAGAAAGAGTTTAGACCGGTAAAGATGTGTCTTATGAACACTTGAGAGCGTTTGGTTGTCGAGCTTTTGTTCACATTCCAAAGGCTGAGAGGTCCAAGCTTGATAGTAAGTCAAGACAATGTATTTTTCTTGACTGTGGGCGTGATGAATTCGGGTATAGATTGTGGGATCCAGTCGGCAAGAAATTCATTCGAAGTCGTGATGTTGTGTTCTTGAAGACCAAAACATTGAAGACTTTGGCAAAAGTGATCAATCGGAGTCAAAAACTAGTGATCTCATTGACATGGATCCACCTCCTTCATCTTTAGTTGATGATGAAAATGGGTGAGATGTGCAGCCACTCTATTGAAGATGTGGAGGATGATGCTAATCCTAATGAGGTTGAGCCAGAAATTGAGGAAGAGCATCCAACTCAAGAACGCGCCACCACAACTCGAGTTGAGAAAATCTACAAGGGACCGACAACCTTCGACAAAGTATCCTCCAATGAATTTGTGTTGATTTCTGATCAAGGGGAGCCTGAGAGCTACCAAGAAGCAATTGAGCATACAAGAAAGGTGATTGGAAAAAGGCCATGGAAGAGGAGATGAATTCCTATTTGAAATACACCTATGATTTAGTGAAGTTGTCTAAGGGAGAAAAATTCTGGAAAAATAAGTGGGTTTTCAAATTGAAGAATGATAGCAAGAATCTGAGGTACAAAGCACGTCTTGTTGTGAAAGGCTTTGGGCAAAAGAAAAGTATTGACTTTGATAAGATTTTCTCGCCGGTTGTGAAGATGTCTTCTATTCGGTTGTACTTGGCATAGCTGCAAGTATGAACCTTGAAGTTGAGCAACTTGATGTGAAGACCACATTTATTCATGGTGACCTTGAAGAAGAAATTTGCATGGAACAACCGGAGGATTTTGTGAAAAAAGGGAAAGAGAAATTTGTTTGCAAATTGAAGAAAAGTTTGTATGGCTTCAAGCAAGCCCCGCGGCA